AACAGTAGAGTCAGACTCGACTGGTTTTCAAGCAAGGGAACCTTTACCTTACCTTTTCTAAAGCAAGATTTGAGGACCATATTTAACTTCCTATTCAAGGCTATGTATCTGGTATTTCTGTAACTGTTTTAATTAGCCGTCGAAAATAAAAGAAAAACCTTATGCATTCATAGAATATGGGTAGCTGACATTGGCAGGAGTCCACACTACAAGGAAACACACATGATCAGCAAGTAAAATGAATGAGTTGCCACAAGCTCACACTATCTCATCGGGGAAAACAACGGAAGGCAAGGTCTTTTAATGTCTGGGCACAGAAGAGGCAGTGGGGGATTACTGTTGCAAATCAGAAACATCAGCCAAGTTCTCTATCAGTGATGCTAACAATCAAGATACTGACTCCTGTACATCTACAGAAGAAGAAGCACTTCCAGGGTTTGAGACTGAAACTTTTAAAATGGACTTGAGACACATTTTTGAAATGTTTTGAATTTCCTTGGCCCGTAAACGATTCCGAAATTACGATCTTCAATGGTGGAGGACAGATTTTTTCAAAGACAAAAAAAGCCATCATGTCCCTGTTAATTTTGCTTCACACCACAACGATGAGCCCTTGGACCTCTGTTTGATTTCCTCCAAGAATCCCCCCACCCCAAATTAAGGAAGACAACAGGCCTTCAGATTGCTGCATCAGAACCTGCTGGATATCAAGAGAAAACCTTTGAACCCTCCAGCAAATAACCCTAACCCTAACCAGCAAATAGAACATGTTCTCTAATGCAAATGGTACAGAGTTATTAGCTGTTGTAAATTTTCCGGGTTGTATGGCCATGGTCTTGGCATTGTAGGACCTGACATTTCATCAGTAGCTATGACTTAGTTTAAGTTAGAGTTAGTTTAAGGGACTTAGGCTCTTTATTTATTCCACCTAAAATATCCACAAGTCTACAGAGCTGTTGTACTCGTCAGATTCAACATTTCTGTCTTCAGCAACCCCTTATGGTAGATTTCTGGTAATTCTCATCATGAGAGATATTGTCAGTGTATGGCCAGGATTCTTGAATAAGAACATAAGAACAATGTTGGATCAGGCCGAAGGCCCATCCAGTCCAACACTCTGTGTCACACAGTGGCCAGAAATACCAGGTGCCATCAGGAGGTCCACCAGTGGGGCCAGGACATCAGAAGCCCTCCCACTGTTGACCCCCCCCCAGCACCAAGATGACAGAGCATCACTTGCCCCAGAGTCCCTATCTATACCTTGTGGCTAATAGCCACCGATGGACCTCTGCTCCATGTGCTTAATTCCCTTTTGAAGCCGTCCATGCTTGTAGCCCCTCCCCCCACCGCCTGTGGCAGTGAATTCCATGTGTGAATCCCTCTTTGGGTGAAGAAGGACTTCCTTTTATCCGTTCTAACCCAATTGCTCAGCAATTTCATGGAGTGCTCACGAGTTCTTGTGAGAAAGGGAGAAAAGTACTTCTTTCTCTACCTGCTCTATCCCCCATTGATTATCTCCTCTTATATTGTAGCTTTTATATTGAGTTCAGGAATTCCCTGATTAGCCCCCCTCTTACATAAATATCAGGGTTACCTAGATGAGTGGTTGGTTTCATACCTTTTATCTGATTAGAATCTTTACATTACCAGTAAAGTTGCTAAGTATTTTCTAGCCCCTGTGAGGACCCAGGGGTTAGTTATGAATGCTCATGAATTGTCTAGCTGGTACCTCACGCCACAGCAAATTTCACACCTGTGTCCTACAAAATCGCCCTACTGTTGGAAAGGGTGTCAACAGCACGGCACGTATGCACATTGCTGGTGGAAATGTGAAAAGATACAGGCTTTTTGGGAACTAGTCTTACACCACATTCATAGTATCACAGGGGTTAAACTCCCCCTTATTCCGGAAGCGTTCTTCCTTGAACTCTGGCCCATTCCATTTGCCACACACCACTCCAAGCCAACCATTGACACCATGATCTATACGGCAAAAAATGCTATTGCCTCATGTGGGCACGAATTCTACACACACACACACACCCAACCTGAAGCTGTGGTTCAGAAAACTGGAGCCAATTTGTACAACCTCGCCCTTTCCCATTAGGGGAAAAAAAATGGAAGGTCAGTTGTTTTAACAACTGGGTACAGAAGAGGCAGCGGGGGTTTCAGCTGCAAACCAGAAACATCAGCCTAACTCTGAGAGCCACCCAATGAGAAGGGCAATATTAGAATTGCTATCACGGCATGAATTCATATCACCAGAATGGAAACAATTGCAGAAATGGCTCTAAACACCAACCCTCTCAAAAATTATACCATATTGTATTCCTATTGCTTTAATGATTTCTCTTTACCTTAACGATATGAGTTACTCTCTTTCATGACGATTTAATGCACTATACGTAGCACTAAAGGAGAAATCCGTTGTATTCTCCACATAAAAATACACTGTTGATTGACTGTTCATAGATAGTTTTGTTAAACTGCTGAATTAGATTACGCTTTATCCTAGTTGTACTATATTGCACCTTAAAATGTAAAATCTTTTGCATTGATGTGTTACTTTAATGTTTACTCAACTTACAATAAAAATTACCAATATATTAAAAAAAATGAATGCTCATGAATAATTTTATCTCTATTTTATTTTTTATGGCCTTTTATCGGTATGTTTTCTGATGTGCTAACTGGTTATTCAGTGCTTTAGATTGCTTAGCGTTTGTAATAAATACCTAATAAAGGTTTTTTAAAAACTTATTTTAGGGTTATTATCATTAGGGCTTTGGCTCAAAGTATGGCAAAAATATATTTTACAATTCAATAAATAGAAAGCAACAAAGAAACAGAGATCTGCTATTCACATGTTTTGTGACTTCCCTAACACGCAGTGACAGACAGACCACAGGAGCAATTTCTGCTTTTCTCATTTAGGGCTTCAGTTCTCTGCTCCTGCAGAGTTATGCTCCTGCAGAGTACAGGGGGTTGGACTAGATGGTCCCTTCCAACTCTAACATTCTATGATTCTAATAATAAAAAAGGAAATAGATTTTACAGTTCAATAAACAGAGGACAACAAAGAGACACAGATCTGCTCTTCGCGCGTTTGGTGACTTCCCCAACATCCAGTGACAGACAGACCACAGGAGCAATTTCTGCTTTTAGCATCAACAGACTGACAGAGCCTTACCGAGAGAGGCCAGGTTCCCGTAATTCTCCTCCATGACTTCCCTGTGCAGGGCCCTTTGGCCCGGATCCAGCAGAGCCCACTCCTCCGCTGAGAAATCCACAGACACATCCTCGAAACTCACCGGACCCTGAAAGAAGAAGCAGACATTGTCTCTTATTCAATACTGAAAGAATCCATAAAGACCATGAGGCAGGAGTTCTCCTACAGGAATCAAGTAAGGCCTTTTCCCTGCGGCATTCTCAAGTCTTTCTTCTGGGCAGTTTCGAG